TATATTAGATATTATATTAAATATATTGTTCGTATATTATATCAATTACTATATAATATATCATATTATTATAATATATTATAATATATTAATTAATAGAATTAAACATAGTTATAATTAATTAGTAATTATAATATACTATACTATATTTTATTATAAAGTAAAATAATATATTATATTATAATAAGATACTAAATAATATACTAAACCAATTGGATAAATTAATTTAAACTTAATTGATAAATAAATATTATATTTTAATAAAGTGCCACATCATCATTTATCTCACATGAATTATCAAATCAAAGTTTCAAATTGTCTCATTATCCCAACTTGTCTCACTTTAATCCACTCAAAATATATCAAATGGATAAAATTATTCCATTAAATAATTATCCCATTTGGCCTTGGTTTGTCCTAACCAGTAACCCCCTCCCCCTCCAATAGATATATGTACATTTATTATAGAGGCCTGTTTGGCAACCATGTGCACAACCAGGCTAACTTGGTATTCTCAAACTAGGGGACTAGTCCAACTCTAGCATGGTTTCTATCGAGGATGCAGCATTCTAGATGGAATTCCGTCTAGAAAAAGCATCCTAGACGGATAAAGGAACCATCTAGGATATCTCTAGACGGATAAAACAATAGCCTAGGGTATTTCTAGATGGAAATTCTATCTAGAATACTTCCTAAACGGAGTTTCCATCTAGGATACCTCAAACAGAAACCCCGTTTGTGATGTATCCTAAACGGATCGATGTTCCATCAAGGATAACCTAAACGAATTTTTCGTTTGGAATGTATCCTAGATGGATTTCCGTTTAGGATACATCCCAAACGGAAAATTCATCTGGGATGTTTTACTACATCCCAGATGGAAATTCCATCGAGGATTATCCTAGACAAATTTTTCGTCAGTGGTACTTATTCATTTAAAAATTTTAAACTTTTTTCCCTCCTGTAATACAAATATCACCTGTAATATAATTCAATAATAATCCAAATCCAACCAATATGCAAATCCAAATCCAAATCCAAAGCTAATAATAATCCAAACCCAAATCCAACACATCAATCACATACCAAATTACTCATTCCATTCCTATACCAAGTCCAACCAATATATATTACATTCTAAAATCATACACAAATAAATAAACCATCCGCAAAACAACTTATAATCAAATAGACATCCCATTTCACAATATAAAAACATCAAACACGTATATTGTTTCATACATATCATGTCTCTCCTACAAATAATAATATTATCTAATAAATAATACTAATACTCCTAATTCACGCAATGCGTGCATTATCCCGTCCATCTGTGGCAAAAAATTTCAAGCATATAAATGCATGTTGATATAAATGAAAATATTTTCAAAATTTTAAAATATTAAAATTATTGAGTTTTTAATTATTATAAACTAGAAGAGCCCGCGAATTCAAATTTTATATCTTCCACTATTTTTGATTTTTTATTCCCTTTGATTTGGTAATCGAGGCATAAAAATTTTCAAGCATATAAATGAATGTTGATATAAATTAAAATTATTTAATGTTCTTTATTATCACAGGTTAAGTATAAAAGATATAAAAACTCCAATTAATCTATAGATAATATACTAATAAATCTTTAACTATTCAAAACAATATATATACATACACACATCATCCTTTTACACATGTATTGTTTAACAACACAAAAAATATTTTTTCGTGTAAATTCAAACTTAATTATAGGTTGATTTGACCACTCTACTGGCTGTCATAGGAAGACTTTTATCCCATTAAGAATATAGTAGCACATACATCTAACTTTATATACTTTGTAAATTTTTATCTCTAGAAAATTTCAGAAGCATTTACCCGATGTTCTCCGAATACACTGTGTGGATGTTATTATATCTATCAGCAATGAACCGAAACGCAAAATAGCATACTTATTGTACATGGAGAACAACTAGTATGTGTTGCCGATATTTTCTAGAAACGAAAATGTACAAATATACAATGTTAGATGACGCACTACTATATTTCTAACATGTCTAAACTGGATAGATCCAATAATTAACGGCATTTGTTTCTACTTATAAATAAGATAAACGTTCCCTTTTTGGATGAAAAACTTAATTTCATATCTAATGTGAGTCATCTATCTTATTTTAGAAATCCAAAAAAGTTAACAATAATTATTGGACGGAGTCTAAGATAACGTTAATTATTTTTTATTCACCTAAATTAGATATATATAACACATTATTGTGTTATATATCACACTATTTTCAAAAAATTAATTGATCCATAAATCAAATATTATCACACACAAACAAACATACACAACCACATATAACATGCACATTAAGGATAAAGTTAAAAATATGGTTAAAGTTAGGATTAGAGTTTCCACTTACGGTTAATTTTTAAAAATTGGTTAATTAAGGTTAGGAGTAATAGGGCTAAATGTAGTTCAATTAATGTTATTATAGTTTAAATTAGGGATCAATGTTGTGAAGGGCAAAATGCAACTTGATTAGGGTGAGTAACACAGATATAATTGAATAATAAACTGCAAAAATTATAAAAATTAATTTTTTTTATGAAGCACACCTTAAATGAGGGAGAGGACGATATGGGGTAGTAGTGGTAACTTCAAGGCACAATAACGGAGTCACCAATAGCGATTAGCGAGGTTA